TTTTCGTTTGTGTATTGATCAGCGTTAAATTGAAAATATGAAAATTGTAATAATGGAATGATATCAACAATCCCATATTAACAAAAATAGCTTTATGTTTCCTCTTGTGCCCGTTAATGTGCATCAATTTTCCAACTGTCGAATTGGTACCGTTATATTAACATTTTATATCGCATAAAGTTATCATTCGTTAGCGTTCGTAAAATTTCTGGATTTATGGAACGTGTTTAATGCCGCATTATTTTACGATTTAATCCCCTCGTGTGCAAGTATTAAATATTTCCGGTGCAAATCTGCGTCATTAAACAGCAAATGTGTATCATCATATAAACATATACAGCTCGCAGGCTTTTCCGATTCTTCCTTTGGAATTATCGTTTATCACTCTGCCACAGAATATCAACGATAATATTCAACTACATTTTGCTCGTCCAGAGAAGGTAGTTCGCCCATGTTGTTAATTCCCCTAGTAACCCCCTTGTCAACAGGAACCATTGAGAGCAGCTGCTAATGAAGAGAACCCATCTAATTAAGTTAATTAATACCGACAGGAGCTCTATAGGAAACTTTCGATAAAGGGGTGAAAACAGGAGGAGGAGAAGGTCACACAAGCGCGTACACGAGAAGGACGATTTGCGTAACAGGATAATTATGTCGGTTTCATCGTACCGATGGGCGGGTAATAGGAGAACATTGTTCGCCAGGGATGTTTAGCCCAGGATTAATACCGACGAGGCGATATTATGCGCTTATGCGGTCAGATTAATAGAGTACGCCCATGGCAAAATCTACTTTTATTGAAACTGGGATTTTTATTAAGCTCCCTTAGACCGAGCACGCGTTTCGCTAGCGGCGATGGTAATCCCGCTTCTTTGTGTTCTACGGAAGCGATAATTGTCACGTACGAATGGGAAAGGTATTATCCGTGATGGTCTACTGAATTGTTAATAATAACTTAAGCAAAAGAATTCTAGTAAAAAATCTGTAATTATAATAATATAATTAATTGGAATATATTCACTAAAAAAAAAATGTTCTAACTTTAATTTTTTTCTTGAATACAATAATATAACAAGTAATATTTAATGTTTACATTTAATAAATATTTATTTGCAGTAAAGAAAGTTTACTTAGAATACTTGGAACTATTAAAAAAAAATTACATAGATTTACAAAATTTACAAACTTTTTTTCAATGTCATTTAACTAGTCCTGATAGAAATGTATACAGTTTTTTTTTAATATTTATTCAGTTATTGTTTAGTTTTATTGTATTCTCATTATAACAATATTACGTAGGAAATGGATAAAAACTTGATAAGAGGTGGCTGAAACAGTTTTCTGAAAATATATGCAACTTCCATACTTATACTTGTCTAGTTATTGTTTAAATTAATAGATTATTATTAATTAAAGTACTGCGTCTATGTATTATCTTATTTTTGTCTAGTAAATGGCTCAGGTTTTGAGCATCTTTTATGCGTAGTACTGAAGGCAAAGCGTACATCTTGATTGGGATCCTAAGTTTTACTTCTCAGTTACTAAATAGAATTAATATAACTGTTCAAAATACGACTGTTCAAAAAATACATGAAATTTTTACCGATAACTACTATTTTTACCGGTTTCTACTGTTGAATGGAATGGCTATATAAATTAAATTAAATAGATAAAATAAAATAGAATAGCTAACATATATCATATATATTTCAACTAAAAAAATAAAGTCTACAACATTGTAAATTTATATAAAGTATTCGATAAAACATAATCTAATGGGAATGTAGATTTATAACAACGACTGAAATAGAGATATTTTGATATATTTTCGTAAAACGCATAAAAACAACGCGCGCAACGGTGCGTAGAAAAGGTTTTAATTGACACAAGCGACATTAGCTTAATTAATGCGTTTTTCCACGTTTTGATAAGTATCATCAAACCGCTTCGATACGTATCATCGTAAATTGCAAAGCGTTCCTTTTTCTCTCTTTTTTTTTTGTCGTTGTCGTATACACGATGTTCAAATAATTGTAGGAAATCGCTTGAGAGCGCTACATATTTGCGTCCCGCCGCGATTTCACGCTAATGCAAATTACTGAACGAAATTACTAAAGCTAGTGCGTGAGTTCAAACGAGTACACTTTCATTGGAAACAAAATGCTTTTCGCATTAATTACCATATCATGAGGCACATTTAGTACTTTGTAACATCTGCGGGGCATTCCCAAATGTATTGTGATTTCATGATTGTTAAATCATATTATTACTAATAGATTATCCGAATAATAACATATCGGTGGCATCACTGCACCGATCAACTTTGTATTAATTTATACGTTTACAAATGCGCGTTTGCATGGTTTGTAAATGCGATTACGATAGGCGTCATTCTGATTTTCTAATTATTATGATAACAACTGTTTTGCGAATGATACAAAATGTCGCATAAATATCAAAATTGTTAGAATTGGTATAATAGAGGAAATTGTACGCGTATGCAATAAAATAAGCACAAGAATGTTTCACTTTATTACATAAAACAACTCAGATATTTTAGCGGAAAGAGTAATATCTTTTTAGAGAGAAACATAAGTAGAAAACTGTGTTAAAATATCCAACATTAACGATACAATAATATTTCTGTGTGTATGATTATACGGTTTAAGAAATAAAATGATTTCGTGGAATTTCAGAACTGATTTTAACAAATATTAGGAATGACAAAATAAAATAAAAAAATGTCTGAAAAATATAATGTTCCTTTCGGATTATAATATATCTTTTTTTTGTTATATATTTGGCAAGAATCTTATACAAATTATTATAATAAATCATGTAATTTATATTAGGAACAAATAATTTTATTTGTAGAATAATATGTATTTGATAAAATGAATATCTTACTCATGTTGTATTAATTTATTCGTTACACAAATAATTGCAATAGCTTTTATGTTCGACAATGAATACTAATTTAACAATAACAGTAACAGTTAATTATGCGTTTATTTATCGCAACAGTTCCTATTCCATATGCATTATGGTGATTAACATTATCTACGAACACAAGCGCATGCAAACATTGTAAACCTATCTGATGGACGCTACACAGATTACGTGTGCTTGTACATATATGCAAAAACTATTCAAAAGCATTATTTAATAAAAATCATTTATTAGCAAATGCTTTAGAATAATAATAATAAAGTTCATTTTTTATTTTACATATATATATATATAAAAATTTTGAAATTCAAAACTTATACGCTACTTTAAATTATAATTGGTATCGAAGTCGACATGTATTTTTTAAATTTAATGAAAATTTACTTTAGTAAATTAAATACTATTGTCACTATTCGTAAGATCTAACGTGACTTCTGCAAATTACAGTTACACGATTGTTTGATGTAATTATATTACGTTACGAATATTGAATTAATCGGTTATTGTGATTGGGATCTATATGTTATTATGCATCGAGCAACGCGTAGTTTGGTTATGCAATTATAACAATAATTGATGGGTCTAATCGAGAATCGCATATCCATTAGGATGTGGAATAATGGTATCGAATAATTGCTTATTTTGTACATAGAGAACTGAATTTTCTCGAATTACACGTATATTCGAATTATTAATTGTGTTCAAATAATCAGTTGTTATCACAGTATATATGATCTATTTTACAATTAGATAATATTTTACAACGCATTTTGAATTATTCCTATGTTATCGCCGTTATTTAGTCCGTTTACCACTTTGACGATAGAACTCTACGTAATTACGACAATAATAGTTACACTAAATGATACATTCTGCAGCAACGTTCGCGGTTAACGATCTGATTACGTATTGTAATGCACGCGTTGATGGCTTGTTTGCCGAATTAATTCTTTTCAAATATATGCGCGTAAGTTAAGCCACAATAATCACTTTGTAATGAACTAAGAAAGTTATTAATTCATACATACAGTACATATTCGTGATAGTGTTACTAATGTTTTCGTGATATCACTATTTATGTAAATTATATTCCAAGTATTTCAAGTATTTTAAGTATTCTAACAATTTTAAATATTTGGAATATATATTTCCATTACTTTCATTATTTTCACAATATTTTAACAGTATTTGTAAATAGAAATAAAATGGTTACGGAATAGAGATGGTAAGTTATAAAATATCATATCTTGTACAATTTTAGATACGCTCTGGAAGCAATCGTCAAAATTACTTCTTCACAGCCTGCTGAGATGTTAACATTATAGCCACTGATTAAAAATGTTTACTATATTGTCGTAAAAACTATATTTCAGTTTTAAAAGAAGTAAATAGTTTTATAGATACAATTTCAAAATTCTTTATGTAATTTTGAAAAGTAAAAAATATGTTAAACTTCTTCAGATTTTATATATAATATTTTATCAAAATAAGAAATTTTATTTAAAAAATAAAATATTTTAGAAAACTTAAAATATTTCAGAATTTACATATTTATATGAAAAATTCTAAAAAAGATGTAAACTTTCTCAGTACTTCTGAAAAGTATTCCAATTTGTATAAAAAAGTACAATTTCCTAATAACTTATGAAATTATTCATAAATTCTGAAAATTATAAAATTTACGTAAAAATTATAATATATAAAAATTATTAGAAAAATTTTCATCGAGACAGTTTTTTTGTATGTTTTTATCTATTATACAGTTTTATTACGTTCATTCTGTTTATTTGAAGAATTCTCTTCTGTGCCTATATGTAGTATAATTCATAATATTCTATAGCTGACAAACTTGTATAATAATCTACTTGAAAAATAATCACGTCACATAAATATTTTGTTAGTTATTTCAATAAAACAAAATATTTCACAACTCCTTCCCTTCTTTTAAGAATATGTTAGCGATAATGTAATGGAAAGCAACTCTGGATCATGAGAAGGATCGCAATAACAGCTGTACCTAAGTGCTCCATTACGTGCCGAATTGTACTCACCGGCAAGGATTCAGGCGTGTGGTCCAGCACGTATATGCTATTCGTGTATCCGTACAGCATCGTGTCCAGATCTGAAACCCAAGAAGAGCAAGCAGAACATTAAATTGGATCAAACCAGTCGCAAGTCGTGCGGCACACTAATACGCCAGTAATACCCGCGCGTACTCACACTCATGGCTGCGTCACCGCAGTATTCTAATTTACGTTGGATGCACCGTAGCACAGAGGAAAGCAATTTCCTAACACGGCCACAGGATGAGAACACGCTCTCAAATTCCCAACGTCCTCTCCTTACTACCCAGTGCGTTTCCTTCAGGATTTGGCGAGTCTAACATTATCTTATGACAACATTGTGTTTAACTTAGTTCAATGTTTACATACATAGAACTTTCTTATTACTACATTACATTACGTTATGTTATATTATATCACCCTAGTGCACTTTGCAGTTCTATTTGATTGTTTGAAAATAAGTATATCTGTTTCTGAATGAGATAAGTAAATAATCGATATTATCGTTAGATAGTAATACAGTAAATAATTAATATAATAAAATTAGCCATTTTCTCAATGTATAAATTTACATAATTTTTTATACATAATTATACATATTACACATATGTATTTTTGTATATGCCAATTATTTTAATAATAACAAAACTGATATAATTTTTCGATAAAATAATTTATCATAGAAGAGATTGCTTGAATATGATTTATCGAAGTTACATGTAGATTGTAAATAAATAACGTTGACACAATAATCATCAAAAAGTTAACGAGTTTTTCCGCATTGACGCTCGTAGCTTCAATGGGAAAAAATTATTATTGACGGTGAATAATAGAATAGTGGTAAAAGTGTCGTTGTAACATATATATATATATTTGTAAAAAATTTAATAACGAGGTAGCGGTTGCACAGTCAGAGAACCAATGTTTTCATCGATACAAAATTTAATGAGTCAATCATGTGAATCAAAATATCATATAAATTCAGCCATAAATTTACATTGTTAATGATTTCCTGTTTTGCGGTCACAGTAGACAAGATAATATAAATGGTAATATTAAAAGCATGTTATAGGTATATTTAATATTCGAAGATAAATGAAAATACTCATCTCATCTAATAATTAAATTAATTATAATTATTAGATGCAATTTATATAACGTAATTTAATTATTCTTATGCTACACATATGAACATGATTAAATTTTTAATTAATTAATTGTAAGAAAATCGTAAAGATGTTTTCTGTCTGATTAGTGACAGCTTTCTCTTCTTCCACGTTTCTACGCTACAACTGCATTTCTCGAAGGAATCGTTGCAAGATTCCATAAGCAATATTCTGAAAAGATTACTGAATATTCAGACAGTTGTATTTATGGTACAATATGATATACCGACATATTCTATCGATTTATCGATATGAAAATCGGAAGCTTGATGCTAGCAAATATAAGTTCTCAAAAATTATTGCACGATACTCTCTGAATGGATAAGAGGCATTTGAAACTTCAAGGCGATTCATTTTGATATAAAAATTCTCAACCTTCAATCTCGTCTATTATATTGCATTTGCGTATTGTTCAAACGAATATACAGGAATCAATCGAATTCAGCGATGGTTGATTTCCGATGAAACGCAACGACTCGCTATTTCTATGCCTCTTTATTGAAGAATATGCGATACGTCACGTTACTTCATCTATTTGGTGGGAATTTCAATTTACGGGGATGGCATTTCGTTATCAAAAGATATTCGTACAAAACATAGGATCACTTTGAGGCCATTGGATACTTCAGACTGACAGAATCTCTCGCAGCAGTTTAAATTGCTTTAGAAGAACAAGAGTACATATTATATATGGTAAAGTTGAAATATGTTCGAATAAAGGAAGATTATTTTGTATTGAATTTAATTTAGTAGCATTTACTTAAAATAAAAAAGAAATTTATTATAAGATAAATATTACATGCAAAGATAGATTTATTACTTCGTAATACAATAATAATTTGCTTGGAAAATAATTAATAATAATAAGTTTTATCTTATATCAAATATCTATAATTTATTTCAGAATCTAAGAAAACTTATTTCTAATTTTATGTAACATGAAAAATATTTAAGAAAAAGATATAAGATACATATAAAATAAAATAAGAAAAAGAATCCTATTTTCAAATACGCAAATTTGCAATGCATTTTTTCAGTTCTATAATAAATTACGCACAATTTGAATTGTTGGGCTAGAAATGCAATTATAAACTGAAATTAGAAATAACATCTCAAATTATAATCGTTAATTTAATAATAATACTAATAAAAACATTATAAAAGACTACGAAGAATATATATGAATATTATTATTAAGCAAGAAGATTTGCTTCAACCACAAATAAAATTCTTTCTCTTATTTGATTTATTCTCGTCGATTTATTCTCATCTAATTTCCATTTATAATAATAATAAAATATGTAAAATATGTAAAAGATGATTAAAAATATAAAACACATGTAAAATTATATACATAAAAATAAACAGTATATAAAATTATAAGTAGAATTTTATTTTCTAAAATCTGTTTCAAAAATTACAGATTTATTTGAGCTTTAAGAGACAAAATACACAATGTACATATGTCAAATGTAGGTTTGTGGTTCATTTTGCGTAATGTAGAAACATGAAAACACGTAAATTAAGATTTATGAATAAGCATAATTGTGATTTGATACCGGAATTCGTTTCAAAATTCAATTTCATCAGGATCGTGCAAACACAACGCATGATAACATTACGCTGTGCGTATTCGGTGACAGAGAATTTGCGCAGAACGCTCGATGAGAGATAGATTTATTGTTTCTGATTCATCTAGACTCATCTCGTCAGAGTGATCGAAATTGCTTGACCAAAAACCAATCGTAAAAGCTGTGAAAGATTTTATTTCCATGATAACGCTGTGTGAATAGACAATATTGCTACAATCAACGTTAGTAAACCATTCATGTACAGATTCGTTAAATGTAAAAACTATTATCAAAGAAGAAAAGATGACAATAACACAAATTCAATTTTTAATTTAAAAAAATTTGATTTATTAAAATGCCAAGTTATGAAAAAATGTCATATATTTATCAGATTGATCGAATGAATATTTAAAATACTAAAAATTTCGATTGTTCTATGAATATTAAGCAAATGCTAATTTTCATGGCAGTAAAATTATAAGTATATACATATTTCTGAAAACACACAGAGTTTCGGCGGAATTCGAACCTAAGACCTGTGATATGGTAACCTTATATGCTAACGTCGCTAATCCTGAATTATAATCGCACGCATGTGTAGACAATTTAGAATTCGACTATTATTTGATTTCTCGTATAAGTTATTGGGTGCATCCAGAAATACGACTACTCACTGAACGATCAGTAAGCTGTTGCATCTGATTGGCAATTTCCATTAGATCTAAAAATATAGACCAAATAAGTACAGTCAGAGCCTAAAAGATTGCAACACTTTTTTTTAAATGAATTTCGAAATGCAGCCTGCTCACCGAGCGATTGGTTATTACTTATGGATCCATAAGTAAGCATTCCGACAAACTTACCTTTTTTAAAAAAGATATAAAAGGTGTTAAGAATATATATGCTTCTCGATCGAATAAAACCTAAGTGTGTCCAACCGAAATAATAATAGTTTTTTTCTTTAAAAATATTTTTAGTGAAGGTCTTCTTATTCCAACCCAAGTAATGACAGCTTCAATTTTTTGTCAAAAATTACTCTTCGAAAAAACTAATATACTAGATGAAAAATTAAAACCCAAATGCAACAACGTATTAACTAATCATATTAAACTTTATTAAATTAAAGAGTAAAACCCAAATAATACTATCTTTATTATTTACTTAATTCTAATGACATGTATCATTCATATAGATTGGTTGAATTTTTACTTTCTGCTTTTCAAGGTGTGAACGCGCCGTAAAGGAGCACGACAGTGTCTCGCGCCGAGACACTCTCTACCGTGTCTCCACAGATCCAGATCCTAAAATTAATTTTTCAAACAAACAAAAATAACTGAAAAATCTAAGAGAAAACGTATGTAGAATATTTATTTCCTAAGATTATAGGATAAAAACAATTAACATATTATCGATAAATAAATTAAAGGTATTATCAAATTAAAAGGTATATTAAGTTAATGTTCGTATAAAACGTATATTTTATTGACAACTTATCAATATGTATAAAATCAATATATGATATAAAAATTATTTAAAATAAATTTACAATAATAGACATAACATAATTTAAGAATATTTTATACTTTCTGGTTTATAATATATCATGTATGGCTGGAATGTACATAGACTACGCAGACAGAGACACAGCGAAAGAGGCGGAAATACAAAGCTGCGGTGCATACAATGGCACTCCAAATTGCATCTATAAACCGCACCGCCATTGCATACCACAAATATCGAAATTGTTTCACGCCACTGATATATGTGTTCCTCCACCTCCCATATTCTTCGCGCATCGTGAACTGTAATCGACTATAACCCCTGTGGCGCCAGTTATGGTCGGTTTTTTCTTTATACCCTGTTAGCCGATATATTTACGTGATAGTTATATTAAAATCTTTTGACGTAAATTACTGCATTTAACTTATATTATAACAAGTTAAATGCAGTAATTAACGATTTTGCTAAAGTATTAAAAGTATTTAGCTCGAAAATAATTTCGTTGAACCATCATAATAATTATGTAGAAATCTTGAGCATGATGAGCAATATTACATAAGATTTTCATATTCTAGTAATCAGTTTCCAACAAAATTATTTTTATGACCTAATAAAATTGTTTTCAGATCTGAATTCAGTTAAATTTTTTAATACTTCATCAAAATCGAGTATTTTCGTCGTTGCTATCTTTAAATGTCAAGAACTTATCAATTATTTTTTAAAAGAATAAAACTATTCTCTCTCGACTGCGAAAGTTCACTGTTTCTCTTAGAAAAGAATATTGTGAGCGGTTGTAGTATATAACTATGTCCGTTCGATGCA